TACCATCAAATAATCAATTTTTTTTGTGGGGATTGTTAGTTTGTTTTGGGTTATGAACTAACGATATGTTTGAGACTTTAAAAAGGCTGTTGTTGAAAGACCCAATAACAAGTAATAGGGTGAAAAGGTTGTTTCCGTGGAATGAAGGAACTCCGAACTGAGCTGAAGAAGATTTGAATGAAAGTGACATGGCTCTCGAGGACGAGGACCAATGGGGTCCAGCTCATATCGCATAGTTTTCAAAGAGCTCTTATACCTAGTAAAAGGTATGCAAATAGATAACGAAATGTTTAATGAGTCGAAGAATGAAAGGGTGAAATGAAGATATGAATCAAACGACTCATGTGATCATGTGATCGATCGGGGTCATGTCGGAACATCATAGTGGCGGGGCATGATCGGGATCAGGTACGATAGGTACCATGATTGCCGAATGTATGAATATGATGATTAGTCAGGGAATAAATAAAATTGGTTGGGAGTATATGTCTAAGATCTGGGGATAGAACATTAAAGGTCTGGATAACCAGGCCATGGGTGGTCCCCACAATATTAGCTACCTCTACTTAAACTTTTACTCCTCACTTAATCTTGCAATCACCTTTCACAATGTGCCTGCACATCAAGACAATGAACTTAATAACAAAGCTAATGAATTAGCCTGCAACTATCACAATACTCTGATTCTTACTCTTAACTCTGGCAATATATACAATGCCTAATTTGTCCCTCTCTGTAATAGCTTTCCTCTTGAACTCCTGGTTTGTCACAGCATCCGAACTATCTGTAATGCAAATATTTTTGCATGGTGGTCCTCCCAATATTGCTTTTAACAATGGTCTTCTCTCTTACAGAATATCTATTAGAATGCCACTTGGCTATATTTTAACAATAATCAAAAAGTTTTAAACCTTGCACATAGCTTTCAATCATCAATGCTTAAAACATTTAGAGTTAAATTACACATTCTTCACAAAAGATAACCTTCTTACCCCAACTCCTGCCATATATACCAACAACCTACTAACACACTTCATTGGGTATTTTGCCTCTCATCTGATCTAATACTTAAACTGCTTGATATATTTCTACAACATATCATAACTTCTAGTGTCAAAGAGTTAGGCAATCACCGAAATGACTGCTATCTACCTCAGATGGCTATAACTTTATTTTAGGTCTCGC